AATTTATCATATAAAATATTTAATTGACGACGTTTTTCATCGATTTGCTGATTATAAATTTAATATTCTGATAATTGTCGTGCATATTGATCAGTTGTAGATGGAACGTTGAATAGAATGACTAAGACGTTCCATTGTTAAGGCCCCCCCACCACTCAAAAATCGATCTCAGCCCAAGAAAGTTCAAATGGGCTGAAACTTGGAGCATATGTTGGGGCTGAAGTGAGGAGGCTGTGATAAAATTTTCAGCTCGATACCCTAATGTTTGACAGAGATATGAAACAAACAAAGGCCAAAAATAGCTCATTTGGCAATCCATTTTTCTTTGTCCAGGCTCTTTCAATGTATTTAATTTTTCTTTGTTTGAAAGAGCATCTCAGGACGCAGTGCAGTACAGAGTCCTTTTTTTTAAATTCTTACTTTTTTAGCGAAAAAAGGGAATCACAAGTTCAATGACTCAAAAAACGCGCCAAAAATGGGTGTCTAATTACATATATGACTGTATATATAATAAAAAATAAAGCTTAATTAAAAAAAGGACTCTGTACTGCACTGCATCTTGACGTGCTCTTTCAAACAAAAAAAAATTAAAATATATTGAATGAGCCTGGACAGAGAAAAATGGATTGCGCGGTTCAGAAAGCCTAAACTGAGAAAAAACGAAAAACATTTTTCGTTTTTTTTAAAATAAGCATATTTTTCAAGAAGAGCTTAACAAAAATCATCGAAAACTTTGACCAAAAACGAGGTGCCGAAGAAAAACCAATATGATTTCTGAAAGAGCAGAAGACGGGCTATCTTCCGATGCATTTATCTCAATTTCGATAATTTTGACGAAAATTGATTTTTTTTGAGTGGGGGGGGGGCCTTAAATTAAATATATATCTTCATATAATTTACATTGATTAAGATAAATATCACGAGAATGTTCAGCTCGAAGTAAATATTGACGACGTTGATAAAACTAACAAAAAAAATTTGTTTTGTTAAATATTTAAGAAAAAGAAATAAATAGTTGTTCTTTTTTGAAAAGGTAATCATTGATTGAAGAAGATGAATTTCAGATGTTAATGGGATAGAATTACCATCTTCAACGACACATTGTTTGTCGATGTTGTTTTAAATGTGATAAATCATATTGATATTGATATTGATCTAATTCTTGATTTTGCATCTATAGAATAATTTTTTAAAAACAAAAGAGTAAAAAATTCCTATGAAATAAATCTTACTCGTATAAAATGAATTTGTTCTTCAATTGAATCTTGTCTATTAATTTTTCGTTGTTTAAATCTATTTAATTTATCTTGTAATAAATTTATTTCATCGATAAATAAATGCCATTGACGTTGACGTTGACGTTGACGTTGACGTTTACGTTTACGTCGTTCTCGTTCTCGTTCTTTATTTTCAGTTTCAAATTTAATCATTTGTTCATCAAGTGATCTTAATGCATCTTCAATTGACTGAAATATAATAAAATATTTGATTTTTTTTTTAATAATTATTTAAAATAGAAAAAAAAAAAATTCATGTGCTCACTCTGCCAGGTGTTTGATAATCATGGTGTAGAAGTGAAGAAAGTTTATTAAATTATTCTTGATAAGTAGGATGTTTACGTTGTTGTTCATCTACATCCTATTATAAACAGACGTGATATAGATGCATTTAGGTTAATAATAAGAAATCAAGAAAAAATAATATAAGAGAAGAAAATATTTCAATAATTAACTAATGAAAGTATTTTTACTATTATTGAAAGAATCTAATTATTGAAAAATTTCAATAGTATAATAAGTATGAAATTCTACACATGCATTAATAATAAATTTTGTTTTTTGTCATTATCTTACTTTGATTGTTTTATTAATAAATGTTGTTCGAGTTTCAAGTTCTATAATTGTTTCAGCAAAACCTTCTTTTAAATGTTCAATTTCTTGACGTAATCTTTGTAAAGTATCATTTGGTAAATTTGAACTAAAAACAAAAAAAAAATAAAATCTAATTAAATTTTCTAACCCTAATTAATAATTCTAGCGCTCAGAATCCATGAATTTCCAGTCGAAAAATTTCGGAACAATGGTAGAAATCCAGTGATAATCGTGTATAGGACTTTTTTCTTGGGCTTAGATTCCTGTTGGCAAGTTTCTACCGTTTTTCCAATGGAAACAAGGCGTATTTGTTAACCTAAGAAATGACAATATTATCCTTCTAACCTATTGATATTTGGTAATAATAAATCAATATGATGTGATTTTTCCTCAATAAGTTGACGTTTGTTCAATAAAAGGTGCATGTTCTCGTTGAA